TTTTGAGCAATCTGATTATGACAGACCTTGGAGCAGTTTTCTTCATGCTTCTTGTGCTATGGGTTTCACTTAGCTTCTTGGGTCTGTGGCTTTACAGTTTTCATAAATTTTGGAAAAATTTCAGTCATTATTTCTTCAAATATTTTTCCAAATGCCTTTTCTCCCCTCTTATACAGAAATTCCAGTTATACATCTATTAGGCTGCTTGACAGTGTCCCACAGGTCACTGATGTTGTGTTCACATTTCTCAGGGTCTTTTTCCCCCTTTGTGTTTCATCGAGGATAGCTTCTATTGCTGTATCTTCGAGTTCACTAATCTTTTCGTCTACAGTGGCTACTCTGGCACGAATCCCTTCTGGTGCATTTATCGTCTCAGGCACTGTGTAGTTTTTCATTTCCAGAAATTTGATTTGGGTCTTTTTAAAAAACAACTCTTTCATGTCTCTCCTTACTTTTTTAACATCCAAAATACAGGAATAGTCACTGTTTTAATACCCTTGCCTAAATCTAATATCTCTGGCAGTTCTTAGTTGGCTTTGATGGTTTGATTTTTCTCCTCATCCTGGGTCATATTTTCTTGCTTCTTTGCATGCCTGATAATCTTTGATTGTATGTCATGCTTACGAACACATATCCTTGAGCTTTGCTCTAAGATGCAATTCAATTACTTGGAAACAGTTTGGTTTTGAGTCTTAAAATTTGTCAGGCAAGACATTAGTATCATTTAGTCAGAGGCAAGATCCTTCTAAGAACTCTGGATCTCCCTACTATTATTAGGTTTTCCAGGCACTATTTCTAGCCCTGTGTCAAAAACCATTCCTTCTGATCACTTAGATGATTTCTGTGACTTTGAGTAGTTCTGTTACACACATGCTTACGAACTCCTAACCTCCCAAAGTGCTGGGATATCAGGCATGAGCCACCACGCCCAGCCCATAGTATCCATCTTTCTGGTACCTTTTCCTGCATATTTCAGATGTCTCCGTCTCCCTGAACTTTGATCTTTGCCTCCTCTGCAAGATGGGTGTACTCCGCTTGTGTTCCCCATCCCTGCACTGAGGTCAAGAAAGTACTGCCAGGTAGAAAGCTGGGAGGTTGTAGAGCTCACCTATTTGTTTCCTTTCTCTCAGGGGTCACAATTTTGTGCTGCCTGTTGTTCTTTATATGAAAAACAGTTTTTAAAATATATTTTGTCTAGTTTGTTTATTGCTTTCAGTGGGAGGGTGAGTCTCATCCCAGTTACGCTGTCTATGGAGTTCTTTCTGTTGTTGTTGTTGTTACTGCAGTGCATTCATTGAAGAAACAGTTTTGTTTGGTTCCTAAGGTATATGATGGTCTAGATTTTGCTGACTACATCCCCCTGGTATATTTTAACATGTTTCTCTGGTTCTTTATATTTCCTGGGAATTGGTAGTTGGATCAGTAGTCAAATTCAAATTCAATTTTGTTTGTCAAGAATACCTAATAGGAGATGTTGTGTACTTCTATCAGGAGGCATTTAACATCTGGGTGTCCCTCTTTTTTTTAAATTCTCTTATATTGTTCCTTCATTTAAAGGCTGGGGTATTTCTACAAAGAGAAAATTATGATCAAGTATTCTTTACACTGAGATTTGGCTTGTATAGTTAAGGCAGGGTAAATATTTGATTCTTTTTCTTTATTTAAACAATTTTCAAAATAATGAGTTAGACAACTCATTATTCTTGGCATTATCAAGTGATGTCCAAAGGGTTCGAGACCAGCCTGGCCAAAATAGTGAAACCCCATCTCTACTGAAAAATACAAAAATTAGCCAGGCGCAGTGATGGGCACCTGTAATCCCAGCTACTCGGGAGGCTGAGGCAGGACAATCACTTGAACCCAGGAGGTGGAGGATGCAATGAACCGAGAAGGCACCACTGCACTCTAGCCTGGGCAACAGAGCAAGGCTCTGTCTCAAAGAAAAAAAAAAGATGGACACTATGAACAAAAAGAGTTCCAGAAATATGCAAGGAGGTCTCCCCTTCAGCCTCAGCCCGAATTCTAAACAGTATCTGTGTAGGGTAAGACTCCTTAAGGATGGGCAAAGAATAACTAAAGGAAAAAAGAACAACTGTAAGCTAAACAATTCCCAGAGTTGTCACAGGGCTGCGAGACATTTGAATTCCAGCTAGTCAGAGTGAACTGACACACAAAAAGTATGGCCAATAAGCAGTGAAAAAGTGCTCAGTATCGTTAATCATCAGGAATGACAATTAAAACCGCAAAGACATACCACTACGATAGCTAAAATTTAAGACTCATAATACCAAGTGTTAGGGGAGGTGTGGTCAAATGGAAGTTTCATTAATTGCTGATGGAAGTATAAAATGGGACAGTCACTTTTGGGAATTATTGGGCGATGGTCCCATGGATTCTCTGCTTTTGTATATTTGAAATTTTCCAGGATAAAATGCTAAAATAAATTAAAATATAACTTCAAATATTTAAACGATTACTATGTAAAAAGGGAATTAGATTCTATAGAGGAAATCATGGAGGAAAATTTGGAGTCAGTATAAGAATGAACTAGGCAACAAAGGAATGTATAGTCTTGCAAGGTAGGCGGCTCACACTAGGAACTGGTGATGCACAGGTCCTAAAAAGGCAGGATTAGAGTACAGGGAATTGCTATGACTACTGAGAAGTTTTTTTAAGCCTTTCAAAAGTCAGAATTACACTTTATACCTCTTGGAATCTTTTATTCCTAGCACAATTTCTGGTACATATTTAGCCATCAAAATGCTCTTTTGACAATCCCTCTCAAGTCGGCATCTTATAACACTGTGCCTTTATATCTTGCCATTCATGTCTGTCATTCCCTGTTATCCCCTAATCACAGATTGTATCCTACACCACTCCTATATGCCCCAACCCAGGCCTAGAAGAGGGCTCTGTGTGTATCTAGAAATATGATTAATAAAGAATTCCTTCTACAACTGGGGCTGTTAAATTTTTCAAGTGATAATTTCATTCTGAAAACCAAATTCTGAATTCTGAGACTGTCTTAATCCCTGACAGTCCAACTGTACAAATTATTCCAACTGTACAAATTAAAATACACACCTTTACCCAGGTGACTATCACCAGCACAAAAATGAATAATACTGAAAAACGGTTTGGATTTCCTACTTGTTTTCCATCCTGGTGGTCTTTCCCCTGAAAACCCCAGGTATTCAATGTCTTTCTATGCCCTTTGACCATCCAAATGAGAATTAGGTGAGGGATGAGATCTTACACAATGCCAGATGCTACACCAGATATTTTACATTACCATGTCATTTAATTCTTACCAACAATTGGAGTAGGTATTATCTAAATTTTTCAGATGAGAAAGTTGAGGTTCAAAGTTTAGTAATTTTCCCTAAACTTCTAATCGATAGCTTTGGGATTTGAAATAAAATCATCTTGGCTTGAAACCCATAGATTTTAACAGAAAAACAACAAAAATGCTCTTTCCTATTCGAGTCTTGAAATAACAGGACCTAAAGGAAATGGCTTTGGTGAGGAGCATACTTTCTCTGTAGCCCTAAGGGCAACCTGAGCTCCAACTTCGAGAGCTTGCTTGTTCCTCTAATTTAACAAGAAAAAAATGTCAAATTCTACCAAGTACCACAAGGGGGAGCTAAGTCCTAAAAAGCCTAGATAAGCTTCTAGACATTAAATGTCTCATTTGGAGCATGGCTCCCTTTAGAAAGATCTGAATAAATATTCTGCCGTAAGTGACTCTTGCTAAGAAGCAGACCTGACAATCCCTTTCCTGCTTAAAATCTTCCAAGGATCTCTGCCAACAATGGTCTGACCATTCACCATGGCACACAATTTCCTTATTTCCTTTCTGACTTTCCCTGCGTCCCTCCAACAGATTTTCCCCCTCTTAACTCCATACTTTTTTATTTTTATTTTTTCTGAGACAGGGTCTTGCTCCGTTGCCTAGGCTGGAGGGCAGTGGCACGATCTCAGCTAACTGCAACCTCTGCCTCCGGGGCTCAAGTGATTCTCCTGCCTCAGCCTCCCAAGTAGTTGGGATCACAGGTGTGCCCCAACCTGCCCAGCTAATCTTAATTCCACGCTTTAACACCACCAACTGGCGGGGAATAGTGGCTCATGCCTGTAATCCCAGCACTTTGGGAGGCCAAGGTGGGCTCCCATGGGCTCAGGAATTCGAGACCAGCCTGGGCAACATGGCAAAACCCCACCTCTACAAAAAATAGCCAGGCATGGTTGTGCGCACTTGTGATCCCAGCTACTCATGGGGCTGAGGCAGGAGGATCACTGAGCCCAGGAGGCAGAGGCTGCAGTGAACTGAGATTGCGCCAATGCACTCTTGCCTGGGCTACAGAGCAAGACCCTGTCTTAATTTTTTAAAAAAACAACAACAAAAGAAAACACCAACTACCCATGCTTCCCTGACTTCCCCAAATAACCTTTTCTTCATGCCTCCATTTCTCTGAATGTTTTCTGCCTGACTGCATGCTGCCCGCCCCACCCCCGCCCATCTCCCTCCCCTAGCCCTTCTATTTGACAACTCCAAGTCAAGCTCCCATCTATCTTTCAACTCTGCTTAAAGCATGTCTCAGCAAACTTCTGGCCTTTCCTACCACTCTCCCTCCACAATGAACCAATTTATGCCATCGATTGTTCTACCATCAGGTAAATACTTCTCTTCCTGCTCATTATCATATTACATTTCAAGTGAATGTCTTTCTCTCCTGGCTAAATTGAAAGGTTCCTGAAAGGAAGAACCGTGTTTGACAGGTGTGCCTGTGCCCAGCTCCAGCATACAGCAAAGCCTCCGCATGTGCTGAACTAAGAGCGCATTAAAGCCACACACCTGTGGCTCATTTCAAGATCTCTCCTCAAAGGATCAAGAGTCATGTTCATAAAGACAATTTAAGTTCTTCACCTCATGCTCAAAATCAACTTAAAAACTGTAATAATCAACATTTTAGTTTAAAAAAAAAACTATGTGTCAAACTTACCAACTTAGTTAAATAAAATATGAATGAATACATTAGAAGGATTGCATTTTCCAAAGCTGTGACACTTGCTGGCTCTTCGGCAGCTGTCTCTAGTTGCTTGTTTGCATCAATAGCATCCACAGGAGTGTCTTCTCCTGTAATTGGCCCTGGAATTGGGAGGAAAATAGATATTTTGTGCTTCAGAATAAGAATGGTTTCTATTTTAAAAAAATACTGATTGAATATCCACTAAATATTAGGTACTGTGCCTGGAAAGTAAACATTCTCATCTCTCACTGGATGTTTACTGTGCACTGTGGTGAAATACTCTTCGTGTCAGTCAGTCTATCCTGGACTATTACACACTACAGTGTTCTGTACTGTCTCCTATGAGCTTATGCTATAAACATACTTGGACCCCTTCACTGTATTTTAAGAAGTTTTATTTACCAAGTCCAGATAGCAAATCAAAAAAAGAACTGCATTGCACTGTATTTTATTTGGAAAGAGAGGGGTAAAGCAGAGGAAAAACTGAATTTGTGAGTTTTAGAGCAGTGGTTCTCCAACCGTAATTTGCATCAGGTCAGTCTTTCCTGGAAGGCTTGTTAAACACAGACTGCTGGTCCCACCCCCAGAGTTTCTGATGCTGCTGGTCTGGTTGAAAACTACTGTTTTAGAGCATAAGGCCTTTTAAGAATAATATTTTAGATTGAAATAATTTACACAAGATAGTGGCAGCCAAACACTGGTTTGTAGGTTAGTTACAGCCTCTGGTGTCTCTCCTATTTTTGATCTCCATCTGTCTTGACGCCTGCTTTTCTCTCAATTAGCTCTGGGATCCTTTTTTCATTTGAGTTTAACAAGTCTCTAGCTCCTACCTTTGACAACGAATCTCCTAGAAGGCCTTCTTTATGATGTCTCCACTTTGTAGAAAAAAATTAGCAAGCTTTACCTGGATCCAAGTCTTTCTCAGTATTTGGCTTTGGTGACACTTCCGAGGCATGAGTGTCCCCGATCACACGCCAGTCCAAGTCTTTCTCAGCATTTGGCTTCGGTGACACTTCCGAGGCATGAGTGTCCCGGATCACATGCTGGTCCAAATCTTTCTCAGCATTTGGCTTCGTTGAAACTTCCGAGGCATGAGCGTCCCCAATCACACGCCAGTCCAAGTCTTTCTCAGTATTTGGCTTTGGTGACAATTCCGAGGCATGAGTGTCCCGGATCACATGCTGGTCCAAGTCTTTCTCAGCATTTGGCTTCGTTGAAACTTCCGAGGCATGAGTGTCCCCAATCACATGCTGGCCCAAATGGGTGGGCTCTTCAGAAACCTGCACATTAAATTCTGCTGTGTTCTCTTGTGAGAAATTATCTTCATGCAGTGGTTGCATCTCTATAGGTGAGAAGAACACACTGGGTTAGCACAACTTGATGACATTACCTGTTAGGGTAATCCCACTGACCATACCAGCTCCAGGGCACCTCAACATTGCCCTCCATGCATGGGCATCCCATGGAGCATAACTGGGCAGAGAAATAAGAGTTTCACTTTATTCCATTTAAAGGATGACTAATCTACATAATAAAATCTACAGAGGAGTATTTCATAAATATATTTATGGTAGGGACTTCAGTAACATCTTTCCTTGGCAAATCAACCTATGCCCACACAAATAAATTTGCAAAAGAGAATTCTACTCAAGAGCAGAAATGTGAAACATCTATTCTGCAGAGAAGTAACATGAACTCTTGCATACACAAGCATGCCTTTCTCACAGAACTAGTACAGACAGGGACATTCCATGCCAGGGCAGCTTGCTGAAATGTCCTTCGAATACTTTCAAAGTACCTCTAAGAGTCAAAGAAAGTGAAGCCATCTCCTTTCCAATGTGATCCACAGCAAAGGTGAATTTCCTTGTAGCCTGATATTTTACCCTGAAAATTCATCTGAATATTGCCTTCTTATCCAAAATACATGTTTTAATTAAATGCAAAAAAGTTCTCCTCCCCCAACTCTCAGGAAAAATTAGCACTCTGGAGTAGTACATTTTCCTGTGGCTTCCTGTCCCCTTGATACTCTCAATTCAGATACATCTGTCTGAAAAGCCGGGATACACCAGGTGCGGTAGCTCACACCTGTAATCCCAGTACTTTGGGAGGCCAAAGTAGGAGGGTCACTCGAGGCCAAGAGTTCAAGATCGGCCTAGGTAATATATCAAGACCCTGTCTCTACAATAAATAAAAAATTAGTTGGGCACAGTGATGTATGACTACTACAGGCTGAAATGAGAGGTTTGCTTGGGCCTAGGAGTTGGAGGCTGCAATGAGCTATGATCATGCCATTGCACTCCAGCCTGGGTGACAGGGTGAGATCCTGTCTTAAGAAAAAAAGAAAAAAAAAAAAAAAGAGGAAGGAAGGAAGGAAGGAAGGAAGGGAGGAAGGGTGGGTAAAGGAAAAGAAAAGAAAGAGAAAAGCTCAGATGCAGAGAACAGAACAAGGAACTAGGAATCAGAATGCTTATGTCAGGATATTGGCTCAGGGTTAATTCAACTGAATGGCTTCCACGCATCAAGCACTGCATTAGAAGGCATCCCTGTCCCAACCTTGATTAATCTGAATGCAAGAACCTTACGGCCCCGGAAAGTTTAACTGGAGTAAGCGCTCCCAAGAAACAGGAAGGACAAGCCATCCACAAAAGACAAAATTGGGGAGAACATAGGAATTTAGCCAAGGCATTGATCTAAAAGTTATACCAGTCAATCCATGGTTAGAGAGCAGTTATTTTACAATTGAAAAATTGTGTTCAATAAAACCCTTTCATAATTTTACATGACATTTGTATTTTGTACATTACTTTCTGGTTTATATCTTTCTCTTTAGGTTTTTACAAAGTTTCCTTTTGAAAATGCTAACCAGTCTCAACTATTCTAAGGGAAACAGCAAGAAATCCTTCTCCATGCTCCAGCCTAAAAGAAAGAAGGCAGGAAGGAACATGCGGACCTCCCTGTGTTGTCCCTCTCCTTTAGGCACACTAGAAACCGAACAGAGCTTCACAAGATAGGAGGCACCACAGCGACCCACCCGCCTGCTTCTCCAGCCCAATTCTGCAAGACCATAGGCACCTCACCTTCCATTGCTCCACCCAAGCCTTCTTCTAGAGGTGGTGCCATCACCAGTGTGGCTGTCTCCTCTGCTGTGGAGTGCTTGTACCTGACAAAATAGATGAGGTCCTGAATGTCATCAAGCACTGCAGCCTCTTCAAATATGACCTGCATTCCCAGATCTTTATGTTCGTTCACATAAGCATCAAGCCTTTCTTCTGCTATGCTCAGAATTTGTGACTCAAAAGCACGGAAGACCTTATCTAGGACTTTTTCCATATTATAGGGCAGGCTCTCCTGCTGTGCTGACTTCAGTTTTGATGACATTTCTTGTAGCAAGGCTTCCAGCTCATGGACATTAAGGTACTTCTGGAACCGCTGCAAAGACTCTTGCTCTTTAAAGAAGCTGCTTATGATAAGCAAGTCCTCCCTCTTGTCACTATACTCTCGCTCTACACTTGTATGTGGAGTCCAGAGGAACGAGTCATCTTCAGGGTCTGCAGCAGCAGAACTCTGGCTTTCTGTGCCCACGTATTTCTCTGTGTTCTCATGGTCCTCTTTTGAGAGTTCTCCCTCAAGCTTCCCTGCAAGCCCTGAGGTCTTCAGATGTTCCTCAGGGTTGTTGTTCTTCAGATAATCAGAATCTTTATTCTGAAACATTTCACCTAATTCTGGAGTCTGAGTTTTTATGCTGTCAGAAAAGTCACTTCCTTCAGATTGCCTCTGTGCTTTCTCATCTGCCAAAGGGCGTTCTTTTTCCACCACTGTATTTGGTTCCCTGCCTCCTGTGTTGACCCCTTTGGCAGCAGTCTCACTTTTTTTGTCACTATCTAAAATCATGCTAGTTTCTTGCTTGCTTTCTTCAGTTTCTGGATCTGGATGAATGGTCCCTAAAACCGCTCTGTCAGGGACTTGCAGATTAACATCAAACTGCCTGCCCTGATTCCCAGGGTTTTCTTCTTTAGACCATTTTGCACTTACAGCGTTTTCATCCTCTAGTAGTTCTTCAGAGGGATAATCGTCCTCTTCTGCTTCAGAAAGGAAAGCTGGTCCTCCTGTGCTGTCAGTTTGGTCTGTCTGTCCTACTCTCTGTGTGCCCTGCATTGCCTTGTGATGAAAAAACTCTTCATCCAAGGAGTCCTCTTCGGCTTCTCCCTCAGACAGCCTTATCTTCTCACTCATTTGCTTATTGACTGTGGCAGCCACATCTCTTTCTTGTTGCCAGAAAAGATTTCCTCCCAGAATGGGAACCTCATCTTTCAGTTCTCTGGGCAAATCAATCTCATCTGGAGAGGAGAATCTAGGTTGATTTTGAGTTTTAAGAACTAATTCCTCTTTCAATTCCTCACGTTGATGCTCCAGTGAAAGCGTGTACGGTTTGGCCCCATTAACCAAAGCGTCTCCCTCCACACTGTCTCCGGATGCGTTAGGGTGGTTATCTCCCATGAGTGGTGCATTACCCAAGGATTCCTGTTGAATCTTTTTGTCATTCATTTGATTCCCTGCAGCTTTCTGTGCAGATTCACTCTCTGAGCCACCTTCCAAAATCTGCTCTCCAGGCTTTTCTTCACGGAGCATTCCTTTTGAGATATGAATAGCTGCTCCTTTTAGGTCATTTGCTTTATCATCATAAGCCGATTTTAATGTGTCTTTACCCTTTTCAGCAGCTGGCATAGAGTTGAGGTTATTGCTGTGAGCAGAACTGTGCACAGTCATGCCTTCTTGCTTTTCATCCTCTAATTCTGTCTCATCTTGCACCAGGCCCCTCTTGGATTCCTGAACTCCCCTCCCTTTTCCTTTAATGTGATGTTCTGTGTTTACTTCCGGGTCTTTGTCATTATTTGTTTTAGGAACATCTACAATCAAAAGACCATCATCTACATTGTCAGGGTCACTATAATCTGTTGCTGACTGTGGTTTCCCCAGTTTGCTCTCTGGGACTAATGCATCATCATCATCTTTTTCTTCCTCTGAACTAGAGCTCTCTAAATCCATCGTACCTCTATTTTCTTCACCTCCTGTGACAATAGAGAAGATAGTGTCCCCCCAGGTTGTTAGTATATTTGTATCATCATTTTTGATGCCAGGGGGCACAGTTAGCTCAATCTTATCCTCTTCATTTGAATTCTGCTCTTTATCTGTTGGATATTTCTCAACTCCAGACTTTGCTGGAGTTTTCACATCTTCCCCATCTGTAAAGGTAAGTAATGGCAACTCATCAAAGTCTTCTTGGTTCTCCTCATCTTCCTTTCCAACTGCATAATACTCAGCATCCAATTCCTCATCAAAATCATCTTCTAATGAAGTAACAAGTCTGGTTGTCTCATCATCAGATACAAGTGCATCAGCTGTTGAGCCAAATTTGGTTTTCAAGTCTAGAGTCATTTCTTTTTTCAAAAGTTTATAGGCATCAATCTTATCCTGTTCATTTGAGACCTGAGAACTATTGCTGGTTTTGTTGTTTTCACTTTCTGGCACTTTTAGTTTATCTTGCAGCATTTCTTCAAAAGATTCAAATGAAGGCTGCTCTCCCTGAGCATGATCTGCTTGGCTGTTTGCGTGGGAGTGGTGCTTCTGAGTTGTAAACTGTTCCTGAAGATCCTCAGTGTTTTCTGAGAATACACTATCACTTTCCTCTGAGTTGGCTTCTACTGGTTCAGGTTCAGGTTCCCTTTCCGTAGATAATTCAGAGTTTTTTTCCATATCCTGTGAAGTTTTTTCTACAGCTTTCTCGGAATCTCCAGCTGCAGAATTGTACAGTTCCAAAAACCCTAAAAGTTCTTCTACATTATAATTATCAAAATCATCTCTTCCTGCATCAAAACAAACAAAATCCGTCTCCTGTAAGAAAAAGAAAAACATTAGTGTGTCAACAGCCAAGTGTCACCAGAGCAAACTCTTATCCATGTTAATGATTGAGATAATCCCAAATTCATGTTTGGCTCTAGAGGAGCTTTTGCATCAACACTAGGCACTGACTGTTCTTGGGCAGTGGGTGGATAGGACACTGGAACCCACTTTCCCATCTGAGTAATACTCCTGGCTTCCCTTCATTCTCTCTTCCCCAGGGGAAGAACGATTCATGTGGCTGGTGAGTTTGCTCAGTCCCATTCCTGTTTTCTGTTTGGGACCTGCTGGAGAGAAAACACATATTCTGCTCCTCCATGCTGTCCATTTGACAGAGACAGTCCCGCCTGGGGAGACCCCTAGTTGGGTAGCTCTGTCTGTGACTGGATAAGTCCATCTTAGTTTAGACTGCCATGTTAGAAAGCCCATTCGTTCTGCACACTCCAAACAGCTTTATCAGTAAATAACGGGGTCATTTTGATCTCCTATTTGCCCAATTTCTGGGTCTCTCAATTTGTTTTGAGCACAGGTGGGGAAAAGTGAGGTGTCATTTATTGGGTTCCCCAACTCCCAACATCTATGCCTGGTGTTCTGGGAATTCACTTCATAATAACGCATCCAGGAGGAGCTGAAAGACCGGCAGCTTCTCTACATTGTGCCCTCTATGTCATACTTCTGCTCCCCCAGTCAGAAACAGGCAGAATCACCTGGCTGTCAGGTTCTCAGTCTACATGGATTTGGGACTCATATTTTCCTTGGACTGGGAAAGATAAATCAGCTTCAGAAGGAACTTACTGAGATACAGATGCATGTGATATAAAAATGTAAGAGAACAAAGAATGGTGTAAAGGAAGCTTCCCATTTTACTACTGCCACAAGAACAACTTGAAAACAAGGTTCACTAAGGTAGGTACCTGACTCCAAATAAGCATTCTAGGCAGTCACTAAGATCTGCTTTCAGGAATATTGAGTAAATCTATATTTTTCCTTTCCTCTACCAGTAAGCAAATTGACATACAAGGAGCCATAAAATGATGAAAAAGTTAAAAAAACAACAAAGATACTTTTCTTCCCCTAACTAAACATTCACAATCTTCTGGGGAGACCTGTCCAGTATACCAGAGATGAATGATTTCCCCCTTTCCATCATGCACACTTCTGAGCCAATTTTTTAAATATTTAAATATTAAATATATTTAAATCCTTTTAGTCATAAAGCCATTGTGCACTATAGATAAATGCTCTATAGAATGTGTAGTCAGCGCCTTACAGATACGAGACTGGACCTTACCTGAAACTCTCTGGTTCCCTTTTCTAAATCTATAACTATAATCCCTTAAATCACTAAGGAGTCAATAATAAGAAAACCTTTGTAAGTTTGCATTTCTGGCTCAGTATAAAATAAGAGCTTAATTAATTTAACCTGATTTCTGTATCCTTAAAATGTCTAACAGCTATCCAGTAATATCCAGTAGTTTTCAAATTTCTCCTTTTGCTTGTGAAATGAAATTATTTGCCGTCTAACATTAATAAGTAAATACAAAACTACAGAACTCTTAATTTTTCACATATGAAGCAGGAAAGAAAAGCCTTGTATAAGAGTACACGGCCTTGGCCAGGAGTGGTGGCTCACGCCTGTAATCCCAGCACTTTGGGAGGCTGAGGTGGGCGGATCATGAGGTCAGGAGATCAAGACCATTCTGGCTAACAATGAAACCCCATCTCTACTAAAAATACAAAAAATTAGCCGGGTGTGGTGGCAGGCGCCTGCAGTCCCAGCTAGATGGGAGGCAGAGGCAGGAGAAAGGCGTGAACCCAGGAGGCGGAGCCTGCAGTGAGCCGAGATCGCACCACTGCATTCCAGTCTGGGCGACAGAGCGAGACTCCAACTCAAACAAACAAACAAAAAAAGAGTACACAGCCTTATGTAAGAATATCTAAACAACATCTATTTCAATATATTAGATAACTATCAGATTATGATAAAATCTCATTGAAATTATTTTGAACTTTTTCTTCTTTTCTAGGTAGTCACTTATAAGCCAACTTACAACTGAGGACAAGACAGAAATCCACAACTTACATCTGCTGGAACTCGTAGCTCTTCTTTGGTATATTCATGGACTACCTGGATTAAATCTTTTGGAAAATATCCAAAAATACGCCCAACCTATACAAAAGAATGGGCAAAAGGGACAAATATCAATCAAATTCTGTGTGAGAAATATAAATGAGAGACTTCTTAGTAGTGTAGAAAATATACAAATATATAGGTAAGTAGATATAACTAAGAGAGGTAGGTAGTTGCTGTTATAATTACACTGAGATTATTACTACTCTGATAATTTAAGTACAGAAAACTGTTAAGCGAACATTTCTAAAACTCTGGAAGTTTTCTTAATATATTCGGCTTAATTATAAACATAGTACATGTAAAGTTAGTGTTTAGAAGTAGATAAAAGAGCTATGTAAGGGAATATTATTGTATATTTTTATATTATTAAAACTATGCATAGTAAAGCTGGTTATAAACACAATTCCAAATAACCTCTAGCAAAAATGTACCTACCCATTTCATAGTATTGCTCACAACCCAGAACTTATAAGTCTTTCTTAAACAATAAACAACAGCCATGTAATAAGTAAAAAGAATGCAGAATTTCTGAAATATATGACCACTACAACAAAAGGCAAATACGGCTGACCTTAAACAACACAGGTGTTAGGGGCACAGTCAAAAATCTGCATAGAACTTTTTTTGACTCCATAAAAACTGAACTACTAATAGCCTACTATTGACCAGAAGCCTTACCAATAACATACAGTCAATTAACACATATTTTATATGTTATATGTATATGTTCTCTTCTTACAATAGAGTAAGCTAGAGAAAAGAAAATATTATTAAGACCAGGCATGGTGGATCATGCCTGTAATCACATTGGGCAGAGGCAGGTGATCGCTTGAGTTCAGGAATTGGAGACCAGCCTGGTGACACAGTGAGACCTCGTCTCTACAAAAATTTCTTTTAAAAAATTAGCAGAGCATGGTGGCATGCACCTGTAGTCCCAGCTACTGGGGAGGCTGAGGTGGGAGGATGACTTGAGCCCAGGAGGTTGAGGCTACAGTGACCCATGATGGCGCCACTGCACTCGAGCCTGGGTGATAAAGTGAGACCCTGTCTCAAAAAAAGAAAAGAAAAGAAATGTTATTAAGAAAATCAAAAGGAAGAGAAAATATATTTACTATTCATCATTAAGTAGAAGTGGATAATCATAAAGGTCTTCATCCTCATCATCTTCATATTGGGTAGGCTGAGGCAGAGGAAGAAGGGGAGGGGTCGGTCTTGCTGTCTCAGCAGTGGTAGAGGCAGAGGAGGTAGAAGAGGAGGCAGGAGACACAGGCACACTTGATGTACCTTTGTGGAAACACAATGTAATTTCTGTCTGGATTCTTTTGCTTCTTCATTTCTCTAAAAATGTTTCTGTATGGTACCAACCCTTCTACTGTTTGCTTTATTTTCAGTACCCCTATCAGAGAATGGTCCATGTTATAAAAGAAGTTAACAGCTGTCTTTAACAACTAAAACCCTTCTATCAGATTGTCTGGTGTTGACTTGTTTTGTGGCCTTTATGTCTTCTTCCTCATTTTCTGGCACTGGTTTGGAAGCACCTATTTCCATCAAGTTGTCTCCTGTTAATTCCTCTGGTGTGGTGTCTATTAGCTCTTGAATTTCCTCAAGATCCATATCTTGAAACCCTTCACCCTCACCTTTTTAGCCATATCTACAATCTGTTTCATATTTCCTTGACTGGCTCTATCATAATCCTGTGAAATCAAGCACAACGTCTGGATACAGTTTTAGGGCTTGACAGCTTTTATGGCCTTTTCTATAATGATGATGGTATCTTCAATGATATAATCCTACCAGAACTTCATGATGTCCTCTCTATTGGCATTCTCTTCCAAGGCGTTGGTGATCCTTTCCATAAAGTATGGTATGTAATGAGACTTAAAGTTCCTCATGACCCCCTAATCTAGAGGCTGAACTAGAGATGCTGTGTTTAGGGCAAGTAGACCATTTCAACTCCTTTGGTGTTGAACTCACAAGGTTGTGGGTGGCCAGGGGCATTTGTCCAATATGAAAAGAACTTTAAAAAGCAGTTCCTTATTGGCAAGGTACTTCCTAACTTCAGGGACAAAGCATTGATGGAACCAATCCAGAAAAAGGGTTCTCATTATCCAGACCTTCTTATTGTACATCCAAAAGACTGGCAGTTGGTATTCAACTTTCTCTTCAAGACAGATAAAAGCAGAAGGCAGTCCTCATCATAAACCCAACTGCATTTGCACAAAGCAATGGAGTTGGCTAATCCCTTCTTGTCTCAAATCCTGGTGCACATTTGTTTTTCTTATTTACAAACGTCCTTTGTGGCACTTTCCCCCCCCAGAATAGGGCACTTCTGTCAACATTAAAAACCTGTTCAGGCAGATAGCCTCTCTCCTAAATGATTTTCTTAATGGCACCTAGAAACTCTTCTGCTCCCTCTTGGTTGGCAGAAGCTGCTTCTGCTGTTGTCTTGACTTTCTTTAAGCCAAACCTCTTTCTCAAATTATCAAACTATCCTTTGCTGGCATTAAATTCTTCAGTGTTAGACCCTTCACTTTTCTTTTATTTTGAGTTGTTATATAATGACTTTGCTTTGTCTTGATTCACATTAGAGTCTATAGGAATGTCTTTCTAACAGCAAGCCTGTACCCACATAAAAGCTGTATTTTTAATAGTACATAAAATGGTATTTTGCAAAAAGTGTAAGATTTTCATAACTGCTGGCATAGCTGCAATAATAGCTTCATGGATTTCCTTTTTTTTATAATGGTCCTTAAGCTAGATTTGTTAATCTTGCAACCACAGCTGCAAACCTCAATCTACAGCACATATCAAGCAATCAACTTTTTCTTGTAATGTCATTACTCTTCTCTGCTACTTGACAGCACTTCCAACATCACTAGTGACACCTTGTATGGGTCCCAGAGTGTTATTCATGGTTTATAGTATTGCACTAAGCACAAAAAACACATGAAAACCACAAGAGATCACTTTTTACGCGCTATATAATTGACTGGAGAGATGAACTGCTCACGTGGAAATGACATGGAAATGACGTGGAAATCATGTGGAAGTGACAGCGTTGCATGGCATTTTAAGTGGATACTCATAATACTTAAGCTCACTAGAACAGCAAAAGGAGGTGGCTATGCAATATATAGTACAGTATGTAGTACAATTAATTTATGCAATTACAATTTAATATTTTATCTTTACATGCTTACATTTCTCTCGACTGCGAAAGGCGCCATTAAGATCTGCGTTTGTGTGTGTATGTTTCGATAAACTGTAACTTTTTATACAGATTTGTGTATGTGTTATGGCAGTAAAGAATAAAATACACTATGATCTACATGTAGCTTACATACTAATAACATATCTAACTTTTTCTTAATTTTTTTAGTAATTTCTATGCTATGCAGTCTGAGAGTTAACAAATTATTGCAAATCTCCACAAAATTTTACAATATACTTATTGAAAGAAATCTGCATTATAAGTGGACCCACAGAGTTGAAACCTGTGTTGCCCAAGGATCAACTGTATTTGCGGATATGATGTGTTATACTGCCATTTTCCAAAAGGATATTACAGGTAACTGGAGACAAAACAAAATTACAATGTAATACACACTAATCTGCACACCAAACTTTTGTTTCATGCAAACCAAAATCTCTATAGAACATAATTCCATTCATTTTCAGCACTAGTAAAATGTGCCCTCTTGAGAAACACACAGTCTTTTACTAGCTACTGTCTGAAAGGAAGAGGTATATCTTCCAATCATTAAAGGAGGAGGTGGCATGTAAATCAAATGCATGAAAAGAAAAAAAGACCATTATATCACTAATTCACAAAACATCTCCATTCATGAGTGCTCTTGTTCTATCTGAAAACTATCTGAAAGTCAGTAGTAGTAGTAAAATACCGCCATGGAGATTAGATAAAGGCAATTAAACTCTGTGTTATTGGCAGATCAAGTCTAAAATGCTAAGAAACCAAAAAAGACTGCAGAATGAAAACTAAGAAACAGAAATGAGAATCATTTTGAAAGCTGAAGACAGAGTTTTTAAATTCCTAAGAATAAGGTTCACCAAATTAGAGGGAAGACTATTTTATTAAGGGAGAACCTGGAAAAAGGAAACAAATCAGAGGTAGAGGTATACAGAGAAAGGGAAATACTATACATTTACCTTCCTTAATCTTTGTCAATTGGGACCACAGGTGGCATCTCATTTCTTATGATTTGACCAAAAAAAAAAAAAATCATAGGTCCACATGACCAGAAGCAATCTTTATGTCTAATTTTGCTTTCACACATCATTTCTGCCAAGGTACTGTTGATTTCTTTTGGGCAGGGGGTGGGGGGGAAAGTAGAGTATTACCTTAAGAGAACAAATTCTGCATAAGATAATATCAGGACAAATACAAATAAATGCCAATGCCCTGTAAGGAAATACTGAAAAGGAAGACAGATAAGGCATGAGCCTTTCCATTAAAGAGTCTTCAATTTTATGTGAGCTAAGACAGTATACAAATTGACTGCCATACAAAGCAGTAAAGCAAATGCCACATGAACAGTGCAAACAAAGTGCCACCTAAACAATCACCAGGCAGCAAAGATCCCTTCTGGCTGGGTGCCGAAGGCAGCGTTCCTTAAGAAGGCAGGATGAGAGGTGCGACCCAGAAAGGCTGACAGGACATCCAGAGGTGAATACGTGAATGAGCAAAACTGCAGTGGGAGGAAAATGTTAAGTCAAGTTCATTCATCCAAATGCTCATAGATGAGGAGAGAAAAAAAAAACTTAACTGTTCTATGAAAACCGCAGCCTAGATACATGGAAAAACATTTCCAAGAGTAAAGAATATCAACAAATCTCATTAGGGAGACTTGAAAGAAACAGAATAGATTTGTCTTCGTATGGAGGGAGCCACTTGGGATGCTCTCTAAATAGGAGAGCTGAACCTGACCAGTGGTTGTTTCCCAAGATTACTCCTGAGGAACCTGGAATGCCAACAAAATCAGTCTATTTTTCCCAAGAGGATTTCTTATTTTCTCTTTGTTTGTTGTTTTATTGAGAGTGAAAACTTTCATAGTTGGGATGGGTATTTCTCTAAGTGGGGACAATCCTAAAGATATCGAGGACCCTTACTACTTAAAGTAAAAACACAGTCCACACATCACTCTTTCTAAAAAGGAAAGGACAATAACTCATAAGACAGGCCTCTCAATTAGGTCACTCCCAGTGAATATCCTCGTTAAAAACACTAAAGCATTGATTGCCATGTCTGGTATCAGGGCACCCATAAAATCAGCTGGGAACAGAGCCCCCGGGGTAACCTCCAGACACAAGTGTCTGAAAAGCAGGACAAGGATGACCCCAAAGCTGCAAACAAAAAACAAACAAGAAAGCACATGGGAAACACAACATTTTGCTTTTTTACAGACTTATAATAGCACAGATGATTAGGGAACTGTTCCCAAGACTGCCACTTTTTCATAAATAAAAATATAAACAAAGAAATATACATAAAATCAACTTTAAACTTACATGCCTGAAACACTCTCTCAAACATAGTTTACATAGGAAGTCTAATTCCTAATTCCTATGAATCTTTCCTTTTTGAAGCAATGAAGTAAAGAATTTTTCAGCTCTTACCATTTCAATCCCTAATATGTATGGAGTATCCTAGAGGTTGACGCTGAGGGGAACTTGCCAGAATCAGTTCTATTTCAGAAGACTCTGCTGAGCCCCTACTCTGTGTAGACCCAAGGTCTGCTGGGTACACAGGGCCATCTTTTTTCACAGTCAGGCAGAGAGGACAGGTTAACTCCATCGAGCGTCCCAAGAAAATTCAGTCATTTAAATCTACAGTGCTAAAGAAGCCAGTAAAAATTAAGCAAATAAAGTATGTCAAAATTTTACTCACACTTCCAGCCCAAACTTCAGGCCATGTCCTTGCCAGTTTATAGTAAACATATACAGGATCACCTTTTTTAAAATTCACAAAACGACAATCCGGGCCTGTGAAATCTTCTAGAGCCTCACCGCGGTACATTAACACTGTATATAAAGAGAGAGAGAGAAAAAAAAAATAGCCAGATATCAGGATTCAGTGTTCACAGTGCATATTGATTTATCAGGAAATATAAGAATCCCACTATAAACAACAACCAAGTTTTTCCAGTACTCTCTGGAATTTCTTTCATATGCTCAAAGAAAGTATCTCAAATCCTTAGAGCTTTACTGCTATAAATCATATCTTCTACAAGCAGACAGGGGAAAGGAAAACCTTCTCTATTTTTCTCTATGGATAATATTGAGACACAAAAAGCAATGTGTCAACTGCCACACATGGCTTTTCTCACCCAAGTGAAACTCTCGATTCCCTCTCTAACCTTCTAGTCCTCAATCTTTTCTGTTTCATATTCATAAAAAGCTTCCTTTTGCAAATGGGTAAATTCAAGCCCAGATGATGACTAGCTTAAGCATGACTACATGAAGGGTAATAGGGAGCTAGAGTACCCAGGAACCCCCAAGAGGTCAATTAACTTGAACTAACCACTAAAAGTCTCTATCTTCAAGTGGCTATAACCGCTACTATGTAGCAGTAAACACTGTCAATTTCATTTGCAGCCAAGTTGTTCCCTCAGTACAGTGTCTGGATAAATTGATGGGAAAGGATATCTATCACACCCTACTGTAGATTCAATTACATCACAAGGGAATCTTTCCTGAAAGTAAATAATATTGACTGTATCTAACATTAAGTTTCAAAACAAAGGAAAAAATACCCTTATGTATATTTTTCTATAAATAAAATCAAAAGTCGACATCCCATTTGGCTGGGACTAAGCAAAACTGTAAGAATAGGTCAGTAATTCAATCACGCTTGATCTAGAAAATGGTAGAAGCAGTACTTTTATTTTTGTTGACCACATACACAGTTTCCCATGTAAGACGAAATGGACAATAAATACGCTGAAATAGCAGAGACAAAGAAGGATGAATGGAAATAAGATTTTTTTCCAAAAGCCAATTTGCTATAAAATACATTAAAAACCTGCCTTTAAATGGCTGTACATGCACATAGATTTGGAAGGGGTTACTTGTTTTTTGAAGCTAAACTCTGATTATTTTCCAACATGTCAGCTTTGTAGCTCAGATATAATTGAGTGTGAGGCCAGGTTTAACGTGATGGACAATTTAAGGTTGGGAATAAGATCAGAAATGAAAATGGCAATGTTTTTCTTGCTCCCCCTCATAACAGATCATAGAGGATTTATAATAATACATCAGAGGCCAAAAAACTGCACCTTGTGGAACAGCTATTTGAAAAGCACACAAGGGCACCACACACACTCACATTACTAAACACTTTATACAACACAACACACATGCATCTAGATCTTGCTCCTGTTGATGCCTATTGTATTTGGTTTACTCTGTTTGAACACATACCATTTCTCAAGTTATGTTACAACCGTGAGCTCTTCTAATCACGCCTTAGTACTGAAGAAGCACCAGTGATGTGATGATTCTCCAGGTACCTGTTTTGAGGGACCCAGGCAGGGCAACGCTTGCAAGCAAAGAATACCAACTATCTTGCCATTGCCAACGGCAAATGGGTAACAGTGTGGTTTTGACCCAAGAAAACTAAAGGGAAAAATCATGGCAGTTGTACCACTTTTGTAGTGTTTATTTACATCAACCATAGGGTTATCTCTAGGAATGGCTTCACACTCATTAGAGACCACTTTTCTTGATTAGTGTTGTAGAGATACAAACAGTTCATATTATGAAATTTGGTTTTCATAACATCAATTTGAATATAAATAGCTAAACCGTAGGGTTCTTGGCCTTCTTAAAATGAATACTTTTCTATAGGCATTGCTTAACAATGTATGAAAAACCGTTTCTGCAGCGGCTATCAGTAAGTTACAAGGTTGAGCCTGCCTGGGAGGCCCTAAAATGATCCTGGTCCGGCGAACACAGAGGGAAGGGGTTTCAACACACAAGTGGCTAAGGCTAAACCAAGCTTGGCTTATGAGACCCTTGGAGTATTTACTGTCATTCCTGTAATAACCCTCTTCATCCGAGCCTGAAGATCTGTGCCCTCTCCACCGCCCACCTCCAATCCCAGACTGGAGAGCAATTCCGCTTCCTGCGCACAGAAGAGGAGGCTGCCGGTCCCAGGTGGCCGGTGCAGATCCTCGGTCTCTTCGCAGAGCGAAAGATTTTGGTCTTCCTGCAGCCCTGCCCGGCAGTCTGCAAGGAGGCTTCCAAGCATAGAAACGACAGGATTGATCAAAGTCGGGGCAGAGACCTCGGAATACAATGAGTGCTTGGACTCCGGACTCGTCCCAAACCTAAACTCCCAATTTCTGTTCAAAAGGCGGTACAAGCCCAAATCCCAATAAAGCAGAAGGGCAAAGGAGCAGCGCCAGAGAGCCTTTCCTGAGAAACCCCACCATCAACCTGCCACTGGGAAAACGCCCACCGGCATCTGAGCCCTTAGCGCATCTGCCCGGGTATTGCACCCACCGAGGTCCCCGCAGCGCGGGCAGGATAGCTTTGGCTGCGGCGTGGGGAGCCCAGACGCGCGGCGCGCAACCACATCTACCCTCCCAGCCCGGGCGGATGGCGGGGGGTGGGAAGGGGACGCTGTGAGCCACTCCTGGGGAAGCCGGGGACCACCGCAAGCAACCCCCAGCCCCAGCAGAGGAAAATAAAACGCTGGCAACAAGTGGGAGGTGCAGCCCCCCATGGTCAGGCCCGCAGGGCTGGGCGCTAACAGAGCGGGAGAAGGCAGACACAGGGACCCGGAGCGCGCCCATCCCCGCGTTCCGCCCGTCCCGCCTGCGACCCCCAGGACGGCCCGCTGGGCTGCGGAACTCCGGCCCCCGCACAGCGAGGCGGCGCCGCCGCGGAGACCCCGGGGCCGGCCGCCCACCGGCGCACTCACTGCTGCATTCGTCGTCCGCGCAGAGTTTGTGCTCCGAGAAGCGCTTGCCAGTGCTGGGGTCCAGCTGGCCCGGTACCCGCCAGGGCAGCCCGAGCACGAGCAGCCAGACGAGCAGCCCAGGCGCCGCAGCCATGTTGTGGTCACTTCGGGGAGCCGGTGACGCGGAGGAGGAGGCCGGGGCGGGGGCGGGGACGGGGGCGGGGACGGGGGCGGGGATGGGGACGGGGGCGGGGACTGGGCGGGGGCGGGACAGGGGCGGGGACCGGGACAGGGACGAGGGCAGGGACGGGGCGGAGCGCCGGGGGCGAGTGGGAAGACAGGCGCGGAGGGGCGGCGCCCGGGAAGGTCTGAGCAGTTTTCGACTGACACGTCAGCAGAGGCTCTAGGAGGGATGCGGGAGACCTCCAGGAGGAGGACTGGCAGCCGCCTCGTCCTCTCCTCGAAGCTTTCTCCTCTGGTCGCTGCCTTGGCAACCAGGACTCTAAGTGTTCTCCCTCGTCCAATCACCTGCCTTTGCCCCAGTCCCTCGCAGAACCTCCGCGTGACTCCATTCGTTGTTCGCCCCTCCCTGCGCGCTAGGGTCCCTCAACCCTGCGCCATCTCAACAGGTCCCTTCTGGCCCTTTCTTGCAGCTTCTGGTTTGTGGCCTGTCCCGAACCAGCGCCCCTCCACTTCACCCCGCTACCCCCACTTTTGGTATGGTACCTCCTTTTCTGAACTACCAAATCTCACCCGCGATTTGCCACTATTAGTCTCTGGTTTCAGGCTCCCTCCCCTTCAGCCTCCCAGGGCTTCCTTAGGGGCACCATCCCGTGATGCTCTTTACGAAAGCGGGAGGTGAATGGAATAGGGGGCTGAGGATGTAAATCAGAGCCTGTGGCCTGTTTGGTCTTTAATAGAAATGGGTAATATTCCTTGGGCTGAGATCTTGAGATTCCTAGATCTATATCCATAAGGAAAAAGTAAACTAATTCAATAACAGTGTGATGAGCTTCCATTTTGTACTTATTTCATGCCTGACATTGTATAAAACACCCAGGGTGGTGTGGGAGAGGACCTTGTCTAAACAAGTCCACGACTTAGTGAAAACCAACTGACATGAAAATAACTAAACAATAAATGTCAGAGTAGGGAAAATTAGTTAATAGCAGCTAATATTTATTGAGTACTTTATGCCCAGTTGTTATTCTAGGGTCTTTCTACACATGAATTAAGATTAATTTAATCTTCACAACAATATCACCTTAGAGTAGTAGGTCCTATTATGATCCCCATTTCAGAGATGACTACCATAAGGCATTCAAACACCTAGTGAGTGATGGAGCTAAGATTCAAACCCAGGTGGTATGCTCCTTTTTAATCACAACTCTGTAAAGCCTCCATCAAGCAACAAGCAATTTTTGTACTTTCTTTCTGAGTAGGAAAACAAAATCTTATTTAAATCATATTATAACTGGATTATTTATATGTGCAATTAAAAAAGCGGGGATGGCATGAGCAGATCAGCCCAGAGAAGAGTGGCTATAATGCTCTCTAGCCCTGGTTGAAGAACTTGGCATTTTTCTGTGACCAGGAGCTTCTCATTGCAGTCTCTAAGGTTATTCATCAACCTTGAACAACAAACCCAGCAGCTGGTTTCCCAAACAAATCGTATTATTTAAAAGCAAGAAGAAAGAATATGGCTTGTCTGTGCAATCCATTATATTGAATAAGGAAAAAACAGTAAACAGATGCTCACTAATTTTTGTCTGTAGGAGCCGTGAGAGATCCTATTGGGCCAATGTAATTCCAATGCAGTCCTGAGAAAATATACATTTGGTAAGGTCATGAACAAGCACTCTCTATCCAAGTAGTAGTTCTGTTCATTCTTCATTTCTTTTCTACTGTGTATTTATTAGTTTTAATATCTTAGATGTGTCTAATAGGCATCTCTAACAATATGTTGAAAACCAAACTCTTTATTTTTTTCTCTCAAACTCTGCTCCTGTCAGTCTTCCCTATTTGAGATAGGAATAGGAGTGACAAGTTAATTCCTATCTTCCAGGTGCTTAAGCCAAAAACATACAAACCATCCTTGACCTCTTTTCTCTCACACCCAAGTCCAATCCATCAGACAATCCCATGTCTTTTTTAATAGCTTCATTGAAGTGTAATTAACCTACAATAAATTGCACATGTTTAAAGGGTACAATTTGATAATTTTTGACATATGTCTACACCCATGAGACCATTACCACAATGAAGTTAATTAACATATTCATCACCTCTGAAAGTGTTCTCATGATCCTTTATAATCCCTCCCTCCCTTCTTCCATCTGTCTTCAGACAACCTTCTGTCACTGTAGATTGGTTTGCATTTTCTAGAATTTGATATAAATGGAATAATACAGTATACATTCTTTGTCTGATTCTTTCACTCAGCATAAATATTTGAAATATTAAGAATCTGACCACTTCTCCCCATCTCCAGTGGCAGCAGTGCAGGCCAGGCCACCCATCTCTCACCCGAATAACTGCAATAGCCTTGTCATTTTCTTGCTTCTGCTCTTACCCTTCCAAAGTCAGTCTCAATAGTAGCTAAAGCAATAGTTTTATGATATAAATGTGGTAATGTCTCTCCCCTGCTCATAACCTTCCTGTGGCTTCCCATTTCCAAGTAAAATGCAATTACTTTTTTATGGAATATACTGTCTTATTTAATTTTACTCCTCTCCCCTTTTACCCTCATTTCCTGACACTCCTCCCTTGCTCTGTTGGTTCCACCCAAATACACCAAGCCTAATCCTGCATTCATGTATCTGCACTTGCAATGTTCCTTCAGTCTGGAATAATTCCTCAAATAGTCTGCCTGGCTAACTAGTTTCCTCAATCGTGTCTCTGTAACAGTGCCATATCTTACAAGTGAGGCCTTCCCTGATACCCCTACATAAAACAGAACTCCTTCTCATGACTAGCTGGCTCATCACCCTGCTTTATTTTTCTTTAGAGCGTTTACCACCTGCCTTATGTTTATCTACTTTACTGCCACCCAACCTCCAATATAAGCTCCATGAAAGCAGGGGATTTGTCTGTTTTGTTCACTGCTGTAATATCAGTGCCTAGAACAATGTCTGGAATATATAAGGTACTCAACAAATGGTTTGTTGAATAAACCCATGGATCTTCACATATTATAAATATATTACGCTATTAACCTAAATAAAGCCTCCATAAAATGAATAGTACCAAGAGGGAATATACCATGAAAACAAGGCATTTGGTGTCTTCCCCTCAGTGGCATCCTTAACACCAAAGACAGAACCTGAAAAGTATTTACTGTTGAATGAGGGTGTATTTGTTGCAGAGGGAGTGGATGAAATACCACGTATTTTTTCCCTATATACTACCAGAATATTAAAGCAGATTTAAAACATGATTTTATCTTATTTCTCCTTAGATTAGAATTAATAACAATTCGTTGATGAAAAAAACAAAATTCCAAAATGATCTAATTGAATATTATTACTTTACAAAGTGAATAATATTTAATTTGACTAATATTTACTACGCTTTTACATGAAAGGTCAGAGTGCTCTGTTACTGAAGAACTAGCTACTTAAGTGTGTAGATTTTATAGGGTTTTGATTTATCTACATTTTTGAAAAAATTACTTTCTTAAAAAGATATTGACAAGCCGGTGGATAATTAGAAGACAGTTCTCAACTGACCACAATGAAGGTAAGGGTGGTGGTTCTTCCTCCTAGAGTTTATAAAATTAGGGGAAGAATCAGCATTCATTTTCACTCATAGCATTTGAATACGTGGTATTGATGTTTAACATAAACTCTAATCTTGCGTGTATTATTTGGTAACACTTCAAATGGAATTTTCAAATGGGTCAAGACTGAGTAAGAGTTAAAAATAGATTTGTCTAGTTTTGGGTGGAAGATACATAGAAACATAAGATTGGAGGGTTTCTGACCTCAGGGAATTTGCAGTCTAAATGAGAAAACAAGAGATATCTGAAACAAATAGGAGACATCACAATAACATATATCATTGTAAACTTGCCATGGTGCCTAGCCATGAACATCCGGAAGGTCTAACACTGAAGTTACCAGTAAGAACCTAGTCTATTGCCAATGATGAAATCACTCAATGTTTAGAGAATGGAGTAAAACATTTATTGAGGACTATAGCTTCCATCCAAGATGGAGTAACAGGGACAGGATTTACCCTTTCACATTAAACATCTAAAAGCCTGGACAAAACGTATGAAATATTTTCAGACATTGGACAATAAGCAATACAGAACAGTAATCCCTAAGATAAACTTGAAAGATGAGATGAGTGCTATGATTGTCCTTGCTTACTGCCTGGAGATTTCCAGGACACAGCCAGGGAAGGGAAACTTAAATAGGAAATCTTCTCGAGTTAAAGAGACAGATTTGAGAGTTTAAGGAAGCCAATGTAGCTAGAGTTCACAGGGCAGAGTCCAAGAGAGGAAAAAAAAAAAAAGCTACACGGAGAAGAGAGAATTGTACAGAGAGAGCGCCAGAGATCTACAGAGGATTTCCTTCAAGTCTTCAGCTGAGTAACAATAAGCATATATATGTGAGGAACTAGCTGATGCCAGGAAAAGAACACCAGGGAGGAATGGAAAAGACAATTGTTAGAGTGCAAAACAGTTTGTATTATCACCAGCCAGAGTAGAAAATCTGTAATAAACAGGGCATCAAGTAAAGTATTCAGTAAAAGGGAAAAATTAGCCCAAGATTAGAGGCTACTCTGGTCCTGCCTAGCAAAACTTAAAAGCAAGCCTTGAAAAGATCAAAATGCTTCCAAGTAAATTAACTGCATTCCAGAATAAAGCTCTGGCATATTTAAAAGAATACAAAAATATCTAACATTCAACAAGGTAAATTCATGATGTCTGGAATGCAGTGAAAAATTACAAGGTATGCAAAGAAGTAAGAAAATGCAACCCATAATGAAGAGAAATCGATCAATAGAAATTATTTTAAAAGACACTAATGATAGAATTATTACACAAGTATTTAAACACAGTTATAGTCCATATGTTCAAAATGCTATAGGAAAACATACGTATGTAAAAGAGAAGCAAGATATAAAAGCAATTGAATTCAAACTTAGGTGAAAAAAACCAATGCCTGAGATAAAAAATAC